TCTAGTCCTAAATATAAAACTTATTTTGTAGTGCAATTTGTATTACAAAATATGTCTTATATTTAGGAGAGGAGTAATATCTACATTTAAAAGAAGAAGAAGAAGAAACAGCCTAGATCACAGCATGTATTTTTTTTAGGGTTAATACAAATTTGGTTTTTTAAGTTTACCTTTATTTTGATTTTGGTCCCTCAAGTTTCTTTTTATTTAAAGTATTGGTCTCTATAATCCAATAAAAATTTAAACTATTTAGTTCATTGAAGGACCAAAACATATGATTTGAAATTTAATGGACTAAAAACTAAAATGAGAGCAAATTTAAGGAATTAAAGATTATATTAACCTCTTTTTTTAAAAGCAATTTTGAAAAATATGTTTTCACTTCAGTAGCGAAAACTTTGGAGAGAAAATCCCTATGCCTCTTTCTGTCTTTTAAAGTTTTTCCTTTGCCATCTAAATAATGGAAAAAATTACTTTTTTCCATGTATTTTTTCTCATTGGGTTAGAAATTAAAAAAAAATCCCTATACTAAGTACTTAAAAAAAGAATAAATGATTGCACACTTAGTTATGATGTAAAAGAGGGGAAGAATTAAACTAAGTTTCTATCTCATAGATGTGGTAAAAGAATTAAATCACTTTAAAACTTATGTGATATTTTTTTTTCATTTCCTTTGTATGTGCTTTTGCAGATAAGATCCAAAAGATCTTGGTCTTAACTTTTTTTTTTTCCCCTTCAAAAAACTACTAAATTGAGAGAAGGACGTCTGGTTGTCTGACCTTTAGCCTATGTATAATATCTGTACCTTGAAAGGGGGACCTAAAAACTGCTTTTCCATCTTTTTCATGGTCCTATACATTGATTCCTTTGTTCAATGGTTGTGAGAGATATGTTACGTGAAATCTAAGAAATAAACTAAGACTTATATTGTTTGATACAGATTTTTCCCATTTTATAATAACATTATATGACTAACGGCCTTGTAACCTAGCAGCATTAAATATATATTCTCACAAATTTTATTTAAAACTACTTTTGAAGATAGAAGAAAATTTAATATAACTCATGTTATAAGTGACTAATATAAAAGAATCATGTACTTTTTTTTTTTGAGAAAAGCCCCAATTTCCAAGTTTGAAAATAAAAATTATATCATCTAATAAAAGATTTTAAAAAAATTGTGCAATGTAATGTTTTCCCTGTTTTTTTTCCCCCCGTTTTTCATGATAAAACACCTTACCGACTCTTAACCTCCAAATTTTTGTAGGTGAATGAATAAAATATGAATGCCACAATTCAGCCACAACCAAAACCATAATAATGATCTACAATGATGTGTCCTTTGACCCTTAATCACTAAAATTTTGTCGTCACATTAATAAAATATAATTATGCAAAGTAAGAAACCAAGTATAGATGAATTTTGTATTCCTTCATTTCATCACCAATAATCATTTTCTTTTAATTTATTCCTTCTTAATGCTAAAAATCATTGTTATATTGGACTTTCATACATTAATAGCATGGAGTTGATGGATGAGATGCATCATTCATTGTAAACTTTCATTTCTCATATTAATATTCATATTGATTCATAAAAATAATTTCATTTTTTTAATTACTAAATGTCAACTAGAAAAAAAAAAAACCTCCTCAAACGTAGAAGATTTCTTACTTGATGCAAATTGTTTTTTTAAAAGAATAATCAAATACATAATATAATAAATGCTATTTTATTGTTCATATGTAAATAATTCAAATTTTGAAATGAAGGTGAAAATTTTTAATTAAACATGGAAAATTTAAATATTCATTTTCAATAATAAAATATTTAAGAAAAAGAATATTATATTATATTTAAAAAATTTCCATATAGACATATGTATGAATGAATTTTAAAAAGTAACTTGGATTCTAGTTCATAATCATATATTGTGATGTTATCATTAATAATATAAATTTTGAACAAATAAATGCGTCATTTTCGGCAACATATACCAACCTGAAGTGTAGTTGATTCTGATAGACACCTTATCAAGGTGCTTCACAAGTCGATAGCTTGGAGCTGAAGGAAACAAGCCGGTGGGTCCGGTGGCGAATAAGAGAAATGACGACGGCGAAGCGGTGGTGGTGGTTGCCAACTGAAACACCATGTAAACACGACCTGACTCCATTGTTATGAAGCTTGAATTTCCTATCACTTGCAGGTTTCCTTTGTCTGGCACCACCTGGTCTGGTGTTAAACCTCCCAGATAGTACTGCTTTATTCCGCCGCTGCTTCCCTGCGCTGCCACCCACCCCACCATCGCACTAGAACCAGCCATCCCACCGTCCGCCGAGAAACCCATTGCTATGTAGGAGTTGGTGTCTGGTGTTGAGAGGATGAAGCTCCATAAGTTTGAAGACGTCTGAACATACTGTACAGAAATGAGGTTGAGTTGAAATTAGAAGCGATAACACACACACACACACTACTACTTCTTCTTTTTTTTTTTTAATATTATGGGAACATCTCTCTAAAACGAAGGTTTCAAGTTCTGGTTTCAGTCTCATGTAAAGAGAAGAAAGAGATCAACTTCTGTGTCTATATATATACTTCTTTCTTCATGGGAGACAAGTCAAATCCATATCAGTAACTCATTTAATTATATTGCAATTCAGAAGCAAATAGCTGTTAGAAGAGAAGAACTTACTCTGAGAATGAAACCTTGAGAATCCCAGACAGAAAGACAATGGAGGTTGGAAGTATCAAAAGGGATAGGGACTTGGAGGTTGAGATTGCAAGTGCACGAGTCTGTTTGTTGTGAACTTATTAGATAACAGTGGAGTGTGAAGAAGAAGAAGAAGATAAGCAATAATATTTGCAGAGATATCCTCAATTCATGTCTCTCCATTAGAGTGTGTGTGTGTGATTTTGTGTTTGGGAATTTGATAACAAGTTTCAGATTTATTTTGCATATATGGCTGGGAAGCCGAACGATCCTTATTCAAGAAGAGGGTAACAAGTGGGAAGAAAACAGGGAATGATTGCAGTTTTGTAACTAACCATGGTGTGGGGACTTTTTCGAATTATGACTTATTTAGGCCAACATTTATAATATTTCAATTTAACAAACGAACACAGTGGCTATTTTTTAAAAAAATGTGTTTGTTGTTAATTATGGAGTAGGTATCTATTATTAAATATTGTAAGTTGTCATGAATATAACTTTACTTAAACTCAAAAAATAAAATAATAATATAAAGAGAGAATGTGGTTGCAATGAAGAGGTTTTTGACAGAAGTAGAATACGCCATCAACAAAATCCATGGATTCACTTTCAATTTTTGACCTTACGTTGAACCTCGTTGAAATTGAATGATTGATAATGGGCCAGGATTTAGACCTCATCCCTTGATTTAGTGACTTAATGACATCATTTATTTTCTTAGACTTTAATGTTTGATTCATGATTAACATTGCCATAAACATCGATAAAAAGTCAATATTTTCTTTTATGGGTAAAGCTACATCCCACACCTTCCTCTTATTTTTTTGGGTGTATCTAGTACCCTAATCTCACTTTTAGTGCATCCAATACTATATAGTACTGGATGTAACTTAAAAATAATATTAAAGTGTTGCATGTAAAAAAAAAAAAATCAAAGTACTAATGTATTATAAAATAGATTAGAGTGTTTGATGCAACTTTATTTTTATATATATAATTATTGATATTCAATAGTAATGACTATCAGATTCAGGCATTGTCATAAAGGAAATTAATCATTGTTATCCCACATATTGACCTTTAGGTGATATTACCATATTACATGCCTTCCCTGATCATAAATAAACCAGCAATGAAATTATCCAACTTCTATTTGACAACTTGATTGTAAACTTAAGTACACATAATTTATGAAATTAATTAGTAATTAAACTCATTCAATCCAAAGTTGTTCAATCATTACAAAAAAGAGTATAATATATAACAGGAATATAATGCCAAGTAAAAGATAAAATAATAATGAATCCTTATGAATTATACAATACGTTACACAGTAATAAGTCGTCATATTCTATATCCGCGATGGGATACATAAATTACATGACATTGCAACTATTACAAATGCAGCAAATGAAATTCATGCCAAGGTAAAATTATGTCTAAAGGCTTGAACTTGACAAAAATTACATTAATATATTATAGTTACCCTCAAAGATCAAAGGTTACATTTCATCTTAGAGATCAATGTTTTGTGAAAGTTACCATAAAGATCTAGGAAAATTACAAATTCAAGGAATCAATAATAATTTCTCTAAAATTTAACAGTGACTTTCCTAAATTTTCATAGTAATTTCTTAAAAGAAGATAGTAACTTTTGATCATCGAGAGCAAATAGTAATTACAACTTCAAGATTTTAACATAATTTTTGCCAAGTTTAGGTCCTTAAAATGTAATCTTATCCTAGAATAATGCCAAATCATGCATGAATCCCATTTCAATGCAGGATTGACCTGGAGCACAACACAATGCTCAAGGCCATACCTACCCTTCAATTCACAAGCCAAGTTTAGATTGTCCATAACTTTATTCTTGTCCCTCCAAATTATAACATATAGTACAGCATCTCACCAACTGATGAATGTTTAAAGTTATAGACAGAGGTGTCCTACCAGAGCCTTATAGAGCTTCATTATAAGGAAACCAACCTTGAGATCCACCCCTCTCTACAGATACACATGATAATGGTATAAATTTGCAGTGAAGAAATATTCCAATAAAATGCAAGTAGACAATGATGGGTTGGTTATATTCACAACTGGTTCAATGAAAAGGAATCTATCAATCTATCATCTCACCAAAACCTTATCCAAAACCCGTGAAGTTTCATGACTTTGATTAAGTGGAAAATTAATCATTAGTAGTTAAATGAATACAACCACAAACAGCAGCAGAGCACCACCAGAGGGCAGTAAATTAATTCTCCTATATTTGTACATTCAAGAGAGAGATATATCACATGAAAGAATGTGATTATGTATCAATTTCACATCATATCTTTAAACTCACTTTTTTACTTTCCCTCCTTTTTCATCTCTTCGGAATGTATTATATATATTTATTTTTGTGAATGCAGAGTATTTAAACATCCTGAACTTTAGCACAAGTCATTTTTAACAGGATGAGTCACCTTTGTAATCATTACATCAAACTAATACTTTGATTTGATCTGCTCCCACAGTCTGATTATAGGTGTTTTATGGACCAATCATACATATGTATGTGTGTGCATTTATTCACTCATCTGAACCTTACTTGGTGCTAGTGATATGCATTTCCCATGGCAAGTTCACACACAGTCACAGCGATCAGGTATAGTCACTTATTATTGGATGTTATTAATCAGTTAATGTTGGATAAATAATATGATGAATAAAAGCAATGTCATCTCCATTATGAAATACATATGCAGAGAGGTGACAAACACACACACACACACAAGCGTCATGCACAGTGATTTCTCTATCTTCCATGGTGAGCACTTATTAACTTTATGAGTGCATGTCGTTGCCTGTTAAAATGGCGACTGGAACCATAAACGCTATCTATCTATGATGTATATATACTACAGATTAGCACAAAATGGATTATTGTTCGATAAAGTGATGACTTGACGATTCACCTGCTTCCAAATTCTAATATACCAATGAGGATATATAAAATGGAAAAAAAGAAAAGCAGGTTTCTAAAATACGGATTTTGGCAAAAAAGAAAGTATGGGTAGGGCATGAAAAATAAGCATAACCTGAACATTTCGAACATGGATCTTGGAAGAATACATATGCAGGCAAAAACAGGTTGCACTGTTACAGAAACCTATACACAGTCCATCTTTGACTCTGAAATGGCAGCAGATAGTGCTGACAGCGAGCAAAGAACAAACTAATTTTTAGAAAGACAAGATCCATCAAGAAATCTGTGAAACCCGGAAAAGTTTTTTCTTTGTTTTAAAAAACTTCTATCCACTGGAGAGGTCCATCAGTTACAGCAAGAAGAAAAACCAGCGTGAACGCGACTAATGCTATATTAATCAGCAAGGGCATATGGAAAAGAGTCTCTCCTGCAATCTCATTTGAATAAAAAGAAATTATATGAAATCACAAGCAAAAATCAGGTATGGACTACATCAAAATGCGAAGCGTGATTTAGTTTTAATGCAGAAAAGACACTCAAATTCTAGAGGGCCAATTCGGTCCAAAAAACTGATTGAGTCTGTCACAGTTAAAACAAAAACCATTTTATATGAACTGAATTGATGCATACACTAAATCAGATCTATGAACAAACACTCAATCAATTACGTTGAACAGGTTGGACACAATGACACACTAGACGTGCAATACATAAGGTTAATCTAAGTTTGATCAATGTGAACCTGACTGACAGAAACACAGATTTGTAATTATGTACAAGAAAATTATGGCAATTCAAACATACGATCCAAAATATTACAATCTAAACGTAGATTTCTCCGCTTATCAATAAGATATCAAGCATGTTTTTACATCTCGCAAACAGAGCATTGCCATTATTGATATCAAATCAATCCAGCAATACACACAGCTAAGCTCCTTGCAACTACTGATATAGAATAGATAAAGCAATAGACTTACCAGATGATACATGTACTGGCAGGCTGACGTATTTGGGACATGACGATCTTGAAGTAACCATGTCAATTTTAATGTCAGATGCAACTCCACAATCTCGTGGCTGTAACCAAATAAGCAATACTCTTTAATAATGACCAAAATGTCATTGTACTCGGACAATGAATGATCACAGGATTAAAATTAATAAACTACATCAGTCCCGACCAACCTTATGCAATATTCAAAACTAATTTTAAAACGTTAGAAGCACAAACTGAAGAATGAGGCTGCAAAGTTTACTTTTATTAAAACAAAGGAAAAGAAAAGCCTGCCTTGTTTGTGAGAAAACAGTTTTAAAAAGCTAAAAATTAATAATATAAGCCCCACTGTTTATCAGAACTTCCAGACTTTCTCACTCCATTTAGTCATGGATTCATTTTTGGGGAGACAACAATAACAACACTACAAGCCAAACACACTAGATACCACAGAATGAACCTATAGAATTGTCTAACTCCCAAGAACAAACAAGACAAATCTTTGCTCAGAATATTCACGTCTTTATATGCTAAAATTATTACAGAGCAGAGTTACAACCTTGAAGTCTTTATAGAAGCATAGACGAATTTCCTCCACTGCACCATGTGAGCAAACTACTTGAGGAGTTGTATGGAAGGCATTCTCAATGGCAGAGACAATGCCTCCAAGGGGGTATTTTTCTCTATTAGAAGGAACATACCCAGCTTCATTTAGAACTCTCTGAGGAAAAAAAAAATGGAAGGACAATGTTCAGACTAACCCTGATGGATATGCACGCAAACTGCAAGCCTTCACATTTTTACAACCAAAGGTTTTGAAAATACAATTAAGAGTGAATCCAGAAAAACAAGCTACAAAATAAAGCATGGACTAGGTTACTTCAAAATACAAGAACAATCAACATTTTAACTAAATGGTAAAGAACTTGCAGTCTGATTATCAATGCCCTATAATATGCAGCAATCCATGTACCTCACATCAATATAATAATCAAGAACATGTACAGCATTTAATTCCTCTCCAAATCATTTCTGGAAATGAACATGCTAGTTTGCATTCTCATCACTTCTTACATCTCACTTTCATAATGAAATGTCTCTAAATGACTTTATTTAACGCTATTAAGTTAAAATCTCAAACAGTTTGTTACAAAATATATTTCTAGCAACTGGGTGGGTGTGCACAAGCATGTGACTACCAGTCATTCTGTAATAAGAGTAAGAAGTGAGTAGATGGAGGGAGTGGGCTGAATCCAAATACTGGGAATGTATTAGCATCTTCTATAGCTAGCGGGTTATCTTTTCCTACACCCCCCTAGTCAAAGAAATTGTCCCATACCGCTAGCACATATTCTGTGATTGCTGTTCTAAATCCCATAAAAATTCTATATCTCTCTACTCTACTGATAGGTGGGACAGGAGGAATATTTCAGCAATCCTCTTGAGCCCTCTGGTGCCCATCAAAACCATATTCATGTTTACATTTAACTTCATTAAGTACCATGCTGTCGTTCTACACAGTACATCTACAGATCAAAATAGATATGATTCTCAAAGCAATTCACCTTCCATACCTAAATTCAACAATGACAAAATGATCCAGGGTCCACCAAAAGCAAAATGAAACCCAATAAAAGGATGCTCAAAGTACTTGCAACAGGGCAATGAAGAACATGGATCAATAGATTTCCTTTCACCTAACACACCACCATAAATAGCGCACTAGTTGAGACAAAATCAACCATCTTGCTCTCCCTGAATTATCTATAAAAGATTGAATAGCGATAGCAAATAAAGGTCTTCAGCTCCATAAAACCAAACTCTCAAATCATCCAAACATGTAAGAATTTTCCTTCATATCCAACCACTCATGGCTAACAGCAACACCAAGCAAAATAAAGAAATAGTCCCTTCCAAAACAACCACCTAGCCAAAATAAGGTGAGCTTATCTTCTATTGAAACAAGTAAGAAACTCAGAGATCCAAAAACTCTTTTTCTATGAACTTACAGTCACATTGTATTTGAAATAGACATTCAGTGTTGTCAAGAAATAATTGTATTCATCTCGAATCACAGGAAATGAGCATGTGCCATGCGTCTCTGCAGGTAAAATAAAAAGACTCAGAATACTACACTGTTAATGAAAGCATCCAACATTTACATCACAGAGCATTCTGTGACTTATTCAAATCAATCATGCAATTCAAGCATACCCTATACTGAAATGATCAGTAGTTAAATCATGTAAGAGAAAAATTTATAAAGATTCTTACCCCACTGTCAATGTGTTCCCATGTGGCAGCCCCAGAAACAAAGATGAAAAAATCATTAGCTTCATATTAATATATAGGATAAATTAAAGGTAGGAAATTTCCAATGATCACCTCGTGAGCCCAAAATGACCCTCTTGTACCATGACATGTTGATGGTGAGCCACAACTTAATGATGGCCAATATTGCTCTAAAGCATTGGTCAATGTTGATATCTATGATGAAGATGGAGCAATAACACTTAGAAGAGAAGAAAATGAGGAAGTTGATATTTAAAAGTATATAGAACAGTTTCAGTTCCAAATGCGTAACAGTTAAAGTAACCCATGCATAATTTGAAATAAGAAAGCCAAGTGGGTGTGTGTGTTCTCCTCAGTTAATAACAATCCTGTAGAAGCAACAAATAGAACATGGTGGTAGAATTACAGATTCATTGAATTTCATTCTGTCTGAATTTGTTTATAAAATTTATCAATATTGATTAATTGATTTATCTAAAGTGAGGAACAAATTTGTATGAGCAAATGATTTACAAATTATAGTTACAGAAAACATGCCTGACACAGGCCACAATTAGACATAAATACCATCCAAACTAAGCGAAACAAACAAACTTTGGAAAAATCCTGCGAAACTAAGTTCACTTTTAAAAAAGTCCTGCTAAACCAAGGTTACAATTTGACATGACTAAATACTTGACCGCTGGACCCAACAGCAAACCACTGGAATTTGATTTAAGTATAATCAGCTTTCAAAGAGAACATGAATAGCTAGATTTAAAAAAAAAAAATTCAGCTGCTCAGATTTTCTTTCAAAGAGAAAATAAGAATAGCTAGCTTTCAAGAAACCCCCACCGCTAAGGCGTATGATGCTAAGGGTGTATTGTAATGCACGTTCCGGTACTCATATTGACATCTTCCCCAGTTTCGTTGATTAACCCCTGGACCTAACTCTATTAGCTGACATCATTAAACATTCATCCACACCAAACCCCTCGTCACTTAATGAGTTTGCCCAAGAATGTATAACCTCATGAGCCCCAACATCTGTGGGTAGCAAGGTAACGTTCATACACCTTGAAGACCATTAAAAAATATCAGGAAGTGCTGAAGCACAGAAATACTTCCACAGTACCTCCTTTTCGTCAAAACTAGTTCGGGAGCAACAGGATGGCCAACTTCCATCATTATAATCAGGCCAGAGTCCATCTGTCGTCATACAATTAGATAAGATGAGTTAGTTAGTATATTTCTTCAGGAATCATATACAAAGAAGGAAGATATAAAATAATGGCACTAATAAATTTGCAGCCTCATACTCACGAATGGTAAATTCTGTTGGAGCATTAGAGCTGAAAAGGAAGGTAACACGAAAAAGTGCAACTCTGTTAGTGTTGCTTCTTAGATTTCCTATACAAGTTACATCATAATATTGACATACTAAAATCAGCCACAAGGAAGCAACTTAAAAGAGATGCAATGGCCGTAGAGTAGTGATCACACCATCAGCAAACCGGCTAAATTAGTCTATATATACCTTCATTTGGGCCAAATAGACTTATACAACAAGATGTATGACAAACTTCACTAAACCAAAAATGGAAGCCTCCCAAAAACAAATATGCTAATAAAGAATTCCCAGTGCTTGTTTAATTCATGGTAAAACAACATCCATGGTTTCTGTATCCAAAGCTCCCCCAATAGCCCAGTTCCATTCTTGTTTAACCGGTATAACAAGTTATAATCATATACAGAATGTTTCAAGGCGGAAAAAGTGACAAAATTGAAAAAGGTTTTAATTTTACTTTACCCTCTGCAGCAAGCATTGGAGGAGCAACAATGGCGAGTGCGGCGGCAGTAGGTGACAGGCCATTGCAGAGCCAACGCGAAGTAATCAAACTCTCTTTGATTCGCTTCTTCGATGCTTCCATTCACCTCCTTTCTCGCACATAATGAACCCCCAATGATTGCGAGCAATAGCCATGGAAGAGCGATAATGCGGGTTTGACCAGAGAAAGAAGCCATTGTTAGGAGCTTCAAAATCTGTAAGGTAGTTGCAATAAACAAGATAGTTAGGTACGATGCGTGTTCGTTTATGAAAGACCAAACTAGACGGATCTTTCGGTATGGGTCACATTATCGGGTAGCAAATTAATAATTGTACAGATCTCTGTTCGTCGATCTCCTAAGCATATTCGTTTACAATGGAATCACGGAATCAATATTCTTTAAACAAACTGAGAATTGGATCAATTCTTATTATAAAAAATCTCTAATCATTTCACTTAAATGAGTTAAGTAGTTGGCAAAAAAAGTTAGTTAAAGTTATTAATTTTATCCAAAAATAAACTAAAATATTAAGGCTAAGTATATATTTGGTCCTTTAACTTTATATAAATTTTCAGTTTGATCCCTTAATTTTAAAAAATATACTTTTGGTCCTTTAGCCCCAAAATTATTAGTCTTAAGTGATATTTTTTGTAATAAGCATGGTTGTTTTGAATATTAAATCTAATATGTTAGTATTTAGTAATGTTTTATCAGCATTCAAGAGTTTAACATCATTTTTTGTTAACAGTTTTAAGGTTAGAGAACTAAATTTATTTTTTAAAGTTAAAGGACTAAAATGAAACCTTATGTAAAGTTAAAGGATTAAAATTATACTTTAACCAAATATTAATAAGAACTATTAATCTCTATATAATAAGGACAAAAGGAAATATAAATACGTATAATAAAAGGAAAAAACGAGCAAAATCTAGAAATAGATTTTCTTACTTCAGTAATTTATAAACACTTGTTAGTTAGATCAACGTTTTTCATTTTGGACAGTATTAATTAAATGAATTTATTTCTTGCTAATAATTTTGGTTTTATTACAATATTTTCATGCTAATGAATGTAGTAAGTACGCTTCTGATCCTATTTATAAGATAGAGAGAGAAGGGTTTTTTTAGTTCTATTTATAAGTTACTTTATTAAATTTGTAATGTGAATATACTATTTCGTCTTTTATTTATTATAGTATAGAGAGAAGGGTTTTTTTAGTTCATTAAATTTGTAGTTATCTTTTTTTAAAAATGAATATGTTAAATAATAGAGATAAAATTAAAAAGTTATTACATCTTAATTAATACATTTTAAAGTTTTTCTTAATATTTGTGAAATATGTTAGAAATGTCTAATAAGTATATCTTTAAAAGAGACATTTAATGCACCTACGAAGGAAAAAGAGGCATTTCCTGATGCGTCATAAATTGATGATAAATTTTTACACACTCTTTCCCTAACTTTATTATTTTCTCGATTTCGCCATATATATATTTATTATTTTTCAAAAATTATAAAGTATGTAATAAAATTACTCCTTCCGTTGGCCAAAAAAAAAATACTCCTGTTATGACGCATCCGTATTATTAACGCCAACACGATTAATATATTAATTATTGCGCATAATGCATAAGAATATAAACTGCTTTAACATTGTACAATAATTTTACCCATTTCTTATTTGTTTAGTAGCACAATTTTATTATAAACTCTATACTTTGTGGAAAAAAAATAATGAATATAGAAGACCATTGAGATTGGAATTTTATATGAGAAAAAACATTTCCACCTCATTCGTAAAAGCTTTTTTTTTCCTAATAGAAAGTGACAAGTCCAACTAACTTAAAACTCTTCTATAAACTCTTGTGCCCAAAGCATCCTCATGTAATAATATATCTAAAATCTCAGTTGGTACCGGAGGTTGGATTTAATAAAAAGAGTTAGTTTTTCACAAAGTAATAAACTAATATTTGAATTTATATCAGCATATGTGGTTACATTTAATACCTAACAATATTTTAAATAGAATCGCATTCAATAAAAAAATATTTGCACCTAGCCCCAAAGAAAAAAAAAACTGAATTGGTGGTTGGTTCCAAAAAAAATTTCGCCACCTGTTGCTTTTAACTTATGTCAGCAAGTCTATCTGCACATCTATGCTCTTCTCTATACATATGCTTGATTTCTACTTCCCATTCATTCTTTAGGATCTCTCTGATTCTACTCGTGATATTAAAATTGCCGTCAATATATCTTTCACTATTAACGACTCCGTGACTTGTTTAGCATCACATTCTACAATCACTTTCCTAATAAAGCCCACATTCCAACATATCCGCAAAGGAAAATTACAATCAAGTCCCATAAAAAAGAAATAATTATCAAAAAATTCCAATAATAACCTCAACAGTCTATAAAGACAAGTCCTATAGTCGAAATGACAATCTCTGATGCTTGTTTTTCAATTGTTTTTCTTACTTGGGACTTTATTGTAATTCTCCGTATCCGCAATCTTTCTAGCAGGCTTCATGCTTCAGCATTGATTGGATTTTGGAATCCTAGTATAATTTGGAAAACCTCCAAGCCACTCTCTAGTATCGCCTCTGAGAACTCCCCCACATCCTACCCTTACGTTCCTTTTTTGCATCCCATTTGTATTCAGCTTGTACCATCCTTGTTGTGGTTTCTGCCATGCAATTCTTCTTATTTGGACTAGGCTTGTAGTCTCTTCTTGACTTTGTAGTTTTTGATCTGGCTTATCACTACCACTTCATGGTAACACAAAATCAGTATCATGAACTATTTAATTCCTCAATTGCCATATTTGCCTGTAAATAGACGTTGGGCAATTTTCCTGGGCTAAAAAATCATAAGATTTTGGAAGTAATAATGAATAAATTGTGCCATTGTGTTGCATATTATAGGTCACTTGTATCCCAAATATTTGTTCCTAAATATAAGTTACTTGTACATAATTAATGATCTTTTTTCAATTTTATCCCTATTGACTTAATAAAAAATTAATTATCAAGTAAGAGAAAACATAAAGCACATTATAAATAAGGGTAAATGTAAGAAAAAAATTATCAAATTAATGTATTTCTTGTTTTACAAGTTTAGGGCATAAGTAACTTAAAATAAATAACAGCATAAACTGAAATTGTCCACATGGTGAACAACTTCATTTTTTTGATGTGACAACTGACAATCATGAAACTCATTCTTGGAGTCAAGGAGTTGTGTATAAATTTGAAGTTATTCTTCTTATGGACCAGCTTGGGGTGTTGTATCTTGGGAAATAATTCTCACCATACAGCGTTTGGGTATTTACTTTACTGTTCATAAGTAAAAAGGCCGTATCAGTGAGCATCATCTTCACGCGTATCTATATACTCCTCCGGTCCTTAATATAGGACCCAATTTTTGAGTTAGTTTTAGTCCTAAATATAAGACCCATTTATCATATTTATCAATTTTCTCTAAATTACTCCTATGGATACTCCCTCAATTATAATCAAATAGAAGAGGGAGAGGGGGTATTAAGAAAAATGATTATGGTGTTTTAGGAAAAATGTGTTACTTTTCTTGTAATTAACTAACTTACCTAACTTCCTTAATCTAATCAAATTAGTTAAATGGGTCTTATATTAAGGACCGGAGGAGTATATCTTCAACAAAATTAATGGCATGACTCACTCTATACATATAATGTCACTCGTTCCTTAGATTTTAATTTGGATTTGAAACGTTTCTTGATAAAAATAACAAGAAAGAGCAACTAAAAATTTGTAAAATAAGACAAAAATTTAAGTATAAGTAAACTTTTGGTTAAAGTGCACTTTTGATTCTTTAACTTCATGTAAGATTCTACACTTTTATCTTTTTGTCCCTTAAATTTTATGATGTCTTTTGAGCCTGGTAACTCTAATATCGTTAGTCTCATTAATATAAAATGTTGACATATAAATTTTGAATGTTAAAAAAAAAAATTCTCAAGTACTAACATATTATATTAAATTTATAGAATTAACAATAATAAGTAACACAAAAAATCAATATTTGAGATTAACTGTGTTAAAGCTAAGTTAGATAACTGAAAAAAAATATTTTATAAAATTAAGAGTCCAAATAGAAGCCTTATATAGGATGAAAAGTCTACTCTCATCCTAAATTGCTAAACTACATAACAGAAGGGACTTTGGCTTCTAAAAAATACTTTTTACTTCAAAACCATGGTTTGGGGATACCACCATCCAAACACATGAATATTTTACAAAATCAATTTTTGATTTAAAACCATGGTTTTAGGGTGGAAAACCATGATTTTCCAAGAGTGAAACCCTACTCATTCTTCACGGAGACAATAACTTATCCAAATGCCTTGCAACCACAATCTAACTACAATTCCTTTTCCAGGTTAAGATCAGACATTAACATTAATTTAACGATCAGATAATTCTAGCCAAAAAAGAATGCTAACTGATTGAATATAATGACCTTGCTGCAAACTTGCCATGCCATATAAATTAATTACATGATTTATATACATAGTTGGTATACAAGATTTCGCAAGTAGCCAGCCAGCTAGGTTATATTAATGGGCAGAAAGAGAGGAGAAGCCACGAAAATGAGGAGAAGTGTGGAGGAAAGAAGAAAAGGCACCACTGTGTTTGACCAAATAAGCTATGAATGATAACCAAGCAGCCGCACAAAGGAACACCACAAAACCATACACAATTCCCTTCACTTCTGATAGGAAGAAGTCCAGCAACATGTATCCATATACCAGAATTACCAGCACTGCCACTGTCCATGCCACTTTCTGCATCATTAATAACCCACTAATTAAATTCATGGAAATAAAATATATGAAAGATTAATTATGTATATACTCTCTTCATGTATGTCACAACATATATACAGTGGTAAATATTAACCAGTGGTTCTATCTCTCTTTCTCTCTCTACCACTACAACATCATCATGTATATGTGATAATGCAAGAAGAGAAATAGACATATGGAATCGGTGGATCCCACAGATGTCAGGTGGGAATCACCCATCTTTATGTGTACATCTCTTTCCTTTTGCAGCATGATATTACTCTGCAGCTAGCAAAGAATCAATTAAGGTTCTTAGGAAAGTAGATGGAATTGAAAACAAACAAGTTTGTCATCTTTTTTTAATTCCAAGAAAGATTAAGAAAGTGATAATTGTAAGATAAGTGAACAAAATGACCAAATAGTTGGATGAATATGGATTAGTTTCACCTCCACGATATG